CTTTGGCTCGCCCACATAAATGTCCGCTTGGCTCTGCTCTGATCACATAATTGCCGAGTACACACCTCTCCCACACACCCCACACGCACAGAGCACACATCCCAAAAAGCAGACACTGTGACACACTCACTAAAATATACCCTCAAAACCAGCATATATATATATATATATATATCCATATGTGCAGAAAACGTATGAGGCACATGGTAACAGAAGCAGGGAGGAAACTTCACACATTGAGACTTGCTTGCCAACGTACGCACGCTGCTATCGTAGCAAATACTAAACAAAAACTCCCACCAGCTCTCCCACACAGGGAGCACAATGAGGAGGGAGCGAGCCAGAGGAACCAAGGATGAGGAAATGAAAAAAATACAGCAAATGAATCGCTTCTCCAAGTCTTTGCCACCTGGATGCTTTGCTGCCAGGATTTGAAGCAGAGTTAATGCAGCGATGTGTTGAAATGACAAAACATTCGTGGGTCTGCTTCAATACGCTGTAAATGTTTTAACAATAGCTTTCCATTTAGGTCTTATAGCCATAGTCGCCTGGAGAAGGACTTATTGAACAGACAACATGGAGCAGAATATGTGAAAACAAACAACTTTAGGTTTGATCTGTTGGGAGGATTCATGTGGATCATTTAGTATAAACAGCTGGTTAAGCCCCTGTCACCCCGAAAAATCTGGCAAAAACGCTGACATATGATGGATAAGTTATGGGTACGTTTTGTATAAGTTATGAAACACGCTGGCACACGTCAACATACGGCAAGTACCTGCTAACTTCCTGACGTATGCCAGCGTGTGCTCAAACTTGGGCCATAAGTTGCAGGTTATTTATCTGATCGTTGACATACGTTATTTGTAAGTCGTGGCGTCCAGCTTATCCAAAACCTATGAGTAACTTGTGCATAACTCATGCGTAACTTATCAAGAACTTATTTCCAAAGCATATTAACACATTTGACGTGTTCCAGATGACTGCTGAACGTGTTTCTAACTCAGGGTTTATACAGGAATGAGTCATTCTAATTTAATGCTCTTAGAAATAATTTTAATGCCATCAACAAGTACCCATGACTCTCATATATACACGTCAAAATCTTTCATTATCTTTACCATCGAATGGCTGCAGCCATGTCCCAAATTCCTTGTTTTTCCAGCCACTTGTGTTGAAATTTGCATTTTCCCTTTTTCTCCGCCTCGAGTTTCTTTTCTGAACATATGGCTTTATGATCAACCGGAAGCAAAATTGTTTTTGTAAACTTTTTTTCGTAAATAAAGAATTTTAAATGCCAAAATAATCACTTTAATGGATTTGAATGCCAATTCAGGCCTTAATTTAAAAAAATTATAATCCAATGACTTTTAATGATTTTTAATGACCCGCGGTAACCCTGTAACTGTTGGGATCTGGAGGTCTGTCCACTTTTCTCCACCAGAGGGCGTTCTAGATCTCCTGGAGCTGGAGCTGATTGCACCACCTGTTGCTCGTTTGCTCATCAGGAGACCAGTATATAAGGAGGCAGAGGACATCACCCCAGCGCCAGAGTGTTTGCCAGTTATGGTTAGCAAGCCTGAGCCAACCTGCCTGTCTGAATCTCTGACTCCCAGAAAACCTGAACCTGATCTGTTTTTGTCTTCTCTGCTTCCCAGGTTGTACCTGTCTGAAACCAGAAACCCTGAAGAGTTTCTCTGTAGGAAATCTGTCTGTCTGATCTCTGAAGAACCCTGGAGAATCTAACCAGTCAAAGACCTGCCTGCTCGCTCTCTGAAGAATCTGAAAGGGAAACTCAACCTGTGATCTGCAAGCACTCAAACCAAGCTCTTCCACCAAGCCCTCAGCCTGCTGACAGCCTCTGGACCCTCCTGGTTCCCCCCCTCTGCCACTCTGCTCAAACTCCAGAACAGGTACAGACCTGCACTCTCTCATCCTGCAAATTACCTCAACATCAACTAACCCCTCTGTCCCCCTCTGCAGTAACACAATCGTGACCAGTCCTGGATCTGATTATCCCTTGGATCAGTTCTTTATTGACTCTGTGTTCATTCAATAAACCTTTGAACTTTTCTCCTGTTTCTGTGTGTTCTGCATGTGGGTTAGGAACCTTAAACCAAACATGACAGTAACTTACAACTGGTTAACCCTTCATAGGGCAAGTTACCATTTTTAACCATCTGCATACTAACAAATCCCTTACAAATGGAGTCCCAACTATGCCTCAGTAAGGTCTAGAAGCACAAGATCTATATCAAACCATTCAGCAAAGATCCTGCTACATGGCTGTACATCTTATTTTGGCATTTGACCAATTAGATGAGCCCTTGATTGATATATTACCTACTGGACATTAAGTTGAAAAAAAAAAGTTAAGTCAAGAAAAAAGGTAAAAAGCTAATTGACAAATTAAAAAATGAAGTTAAAAAGTTAATAAGCCTAGTTAACAATTATATTTAGGTTTATAAACTAAAAAATGTAAGTGCAAGTATCAGCATTAATGCCTCTAAGGTTATGTTGTACCAAGTGTTTTTCATCAATGTCCTCTAGAAGCACTCTTGTTATTTTTCTTAATATATTCAGGAAAGCTGGCGTTTCTTGTTATTAGATTGACATTGACATATTTTTTGAATGTTACAAAAGTAATTAGGTCTTGTCTTGGATTCCAGTAACACTATTGGCTTGAAATTTAGATTTTCAAACTAATTCACTGAGTCGCCTATAAAGGGATAATGGCGTATTGGCAGCGTTTTGGTATAAAGAAGGTTCACAGGAGGAAACCATCAGTTCTTCACCAGACTTCATCCCCATCATAGGGTGAAGCCAGAAGCTGAGTCTGATGAATCCTCCGTGCGTCACGGCTACGACCAACAAACTTCCTAGCAGACATGACGCTGAATCTGCTGCCACTGTAAACCTTCTTTCTTTCTTTTTCTTTTTTCTTTTTATTTATTCATTTTTTTCCGGGGGGCCGGAAAAAACAACCAAGGTAAAAACCACAACAAAAAAAACTTTTTATGCAGACCGGGCGCCTCCTGGTGCATCGTTGCTCCTGAGGGGAGCAGCTTTAACTGATGCGTCGTAACGCCCATGAAATGATGCATCATTTCATGGGCGTTACGACTGCCGTGCGTTATGCATAGGTTAGGCTGTCTTTGGACATAAGATCTGGACACAAATATGCTAGTTGAAAAAAATACATAAAAAGTTCAGCTAAATCGGCACGGTGTGACAGGGGCCTTACGTCAAAATGCTAAAAATAATACATATCTGTAATGAATAACAGCCTCCTCCACAGAGGGAAACCAATCAGCATCACATCTGGAACCTGGAAGGATTTTATCAAAACGATCAATGAACCTTTGGTACATTTAGTAAAATCAACTCATCCAGACGCAGAAAGATTTTAGGGATTGCAGCACAAAACTACAACAACTAATTGATTATTTTGTGTTTTAATATATATAAATAGCAGATGTTCATGTATTTTTTTAGGTTGTGTTTTAATGTTTCAATGATGTGATAATCAAGCAAGTATTATTTCCTGAGGTGGGATTCCATGTGTTATGGTCTTATAGGCCTTCTCCTCCATCTCTGTACTTTTACCTCAAACTTAAGGCTGAATTTACTGTCGCTGGAGCCACTCAGCAAAGGACACTCCCAAAGATAGTGGAGTCATCAAAACAGCAGTACCTCAAATGCCTCTTTTCCTTTATGGAGCATTTCTGGCCAGAAATAGAAATAAAAACAGGCACTGCAGGATAGTCTACACTTTCTTTCAGTCAGACTATTTTTCTCACCTTGCAGTTTTCATGAGAAGCTGCCAGAGTTTCTACAAACATGTTAGGAGCAGCGAGACTCCTCCCATTAATCACAGCATATTTAGACACCCTAAAGAGCAGCATATATATCTGAAATTGTCAGCTGCTAATGACGAGCCTAAAATGCATTTAGCTGTGTGGATCCTTCCTGTCATTAATCTTTACAGCTTAAAAATCTTTAAAATGTAAACAAATGCTTTCCAAACCAACAATGAGGCTATTTAATAATAGAAGTTGCATATTTTCAGACCAACGCCAACTTTAGCTTGTAAGGAAACATATATTTCTTTAACCCTAATAAAGGGTAGAGGTTATAGACCAGATTTGTTGAAATATAAACAATAGAGGTTTATTTAGGTAAATCATCTTAACTTATCACCAAGCAAGACTGTTAGATATCATTTGATTCCAGCAGAATCTGATCTAACTGGATTGCTGTTTGCTAAAACTTTCTGTGATGTCATCATCCCCTGCAGCTTGCAGCGCAGCATGGATATCAAATCACTGATGCTGATTGCATAGTTTGATTTTACTGAGCAACTAACTGAAGAAAAATGTTTAGATTTCTCCTAGCAGAAACAAAAGAAGCATAAAAAGCAGTAAATGCATTTTTTTCGCCCCATCCGATACAAAATACAGAGCGTCAATACCACAACATAACACCCCCACATCAAGCCAATATGGAGATGAAACTAATCGATTAGGAATAAAAGATCATCAGCGGATCTGTCATCAGCTAGCAGGCAGATACACAAATGAGCACGAGAGCAGCAACAATGACAGCGGCGCTCAAACGGGCCGATCATTACACACACACAACGCCATCAGTGGGGAAAGGGCCGACGGCAGCAGTCAGAGCCCGCTTGGAAAGGAGGTTTATCTGAAAACTGGGAGGGGGCAAAGAAATAAAACAATATCTGCAGCAAGTTAAGAGAGGAAAACCCCCAAACAGCACAAGAGCATAGAAAGTTACAGTGAGACGTACAGATATGATATTTGACAGAGAGAGGAAGAACAAGAAGAGAAAAGATGACAAACACTTTGGAAAGTTTCAGGCAGTTTAACAGATAGAAAACCTGCGATAGACCGAAGCTTCAGAAAGTAGAGACAGAGAAATCTTAGAGTGAGAGAATGTTAGAAAAACAAACAGAGCAGATGGACTGATGCTTTTAATCTTACCTGAATTTCTCTTGCTGATGTACTTGACATCATCACAGGCTCCCGAGGCAAAGAGGAGGAGAAGGAAAAGGAGAGATAACGTCTTCATCTCCCTATTCTCCGCCGGCACCTTAAAACGGAGCAAAGAAATCAAAATTAGCGGGCAAAATAATATTTAGATTCAACCGCTGACTATAAATAGAGCTGGACAAAATTTCAAATTATAGGGTTTTTTTGCCATATCAGTGCCTGTTGTTATTATCATTTTGTATATGAAAGGCAGACAGGTTGAAAAAAATCACTCTATTTGCAGATGATACTGATATCTATAGAAGAGAAGAAAACATTCAATCACTTTTAAAAGTTTTCACAAAAAATTGGGAAAACTTAAACACTGTGTCAAAAAATATACATAAAACAAAATTTAGTTTATTTGCAAACTGCAGCCGATATAAAAACAATGAAATCAAACTGACTTTTAAGAGAGTAAGTCCAAAAAATGTAATTGGTGTTACACCTGACGGCATTTAACCAGAAACCACAGATTGGTGAAGTCAATTCAAATCTAGCAAAAAATGTTACAGTTTTGAGCACAGAACATTTTCTAGACTGCAAATCCCTTTTTCATTGTATAGAATACCTTCGTTTTACCCTATTTGTCTTATTGTGTAGAAATTTGGGACAATACATATACAATTGTGTTTCTTATAAGTAAAAGAACTGAGACCTTTTTAAATTTAAACCATATAATTTATCTTCAAGATAAGAAATTGTCAACTTGCAGGCAATATTCAAAAAAAGTTAGTTTATGAGGGGCAGGGTTAGGATGAAAGAGGAGAAGGGAATAAAAAAAAAAAAAACAAGTAAACATGCAGCTATAAACCACAAAAAAAGAGTTTTTGCTTGGTGCTGTATGGAGTGGATTTATATATTTTTAAAGATTTTCATCTTCTATCTGCTCCTTTTTAATCAGTATGTTTAAAATATGCAGGTCTACTGGTGTTCTAGTTTGCACTTCGTGATCCCATGATTGTTGTTGGGTACAGAGAAAGTGTAATACTAGACCAGGGGTCACCAATTAAAAAGCAGCAGGGTCCAAATAAAGACAATCATCAACCAGTAAAGGTCCGGAGACATTTTTAATTATAATCTGTTACTTTAAACTGAATTTAACACTGAAATAAAATGCAGGTGTTTATGCATCAATGTTATACATAGAATGCTTTAATAATAAATATAAAAAGCACAACATTTTTCCATTTTATCATTCAGTTTGGTATATAGACAATTTCCTGACTCACTGTTTTTTTGACCTGAACTAACCGTTTTTTTCTTTCTATTTCCTGTCTTAATGTTGGCAGTGGGCTT